AAATCTTCATGATTTATACATTTCCTCTAAAAAAAAAAAAAGTCATGTAAAATAATAAATATCTTTTATAAATCTTTCTATGCTGAAACCATGTTTCAGAAGAGATGCCTTAAAGATCCAAAAATTAATGTTGCTGTAGAATTCCTTCTTCAATAGATAAAGGTATAGTTAGTTCATAAATGATGGTAAACTCTACCTGTAACCCGTAGAGGGCCCCTTAATTAATGGAGTGTGATAATTGCTGGTTTAGTCCAGCAGACGTTCGGGGAACACATCGTATATTTACTGCGCACAAAAAAGTGCGCTGTTTCTCGATTTATTTCTCAGTATATATTAAACTGCAATGTTCCTAACATATTCTTTAGAATTTCTATAATAGCCCTCCTGGGCCTGAATTGAGACCATCCAAAATTTAGCCTATTTATACTGCCAATATGGGTGGCAAGACACGCCTCGCGCAGATGTCAACAACAAGAGTAGTAGATAGAGGGATCTTTTGAAATTTTGTGTATTTAAGAACCGAGCGCAACTTTCTGTGCGCAATGAATATATAGTCTTTTTTTCTCTTTTAGCTCTCCAGTCTGTCAATATTTTTATTCGGAGAGCTACAGTTCTTCAGCCATGCACCTTAATGCCCTACAATGTCTAAGGATCGATTGATTTTTATCGAAATCATTTTATTATGGAAATATAGACCCATGCACTTATCTACAAATACAAAATATCTAAATTACAATTACATCTTTACATATTTTCCTTTAAATTAACTTATGTAAATGCAATTTTCACATGAACTCACACGAGCAGATAGGAATCTGACTGAAGTCAAGCTGCACTTTAACAGGATTTTTTAAATATACCATTAATATACCATAAGGAACATACCCCCGATATACAGTTCCTTGTAATTGTGAGAATTATGATAAATCCTACAAATGTACAATTTATAAATTTACAATAAGAAAGATTGGATGGGGATTATATATATATATATATATATATATATATATATATATATATATATATATATATATATATATATATATATATATATATATATATATACAGTGCCCACTGTCCAATCCGACAACTGTGCAATCCGGCACACTGGACTTTCCGACGTAATATTTTATTCCCAAAAATTTCTTTATAATTTATATAAAATAAAACACTGTATATTCCGACCACTGCACATTCCGAATTCCGGCGATTTTTTGTCAACAGAAGTAGATAATTACTTTATGATTTACCCTGAGTAATCCGACATAATTACACTGGTGTACCGTAATTAGCCGCTGGCCAGGTACATGTAACATGAATGTCACGTTTGGTCACAAGATTGGTCTACTTAGAGAGTAGTTAATTACATGTACGAGTTCAAAAGTGTTTATGTAAGCAATTATAAATGAACAGTTTTTGAATTAAAAATTAGGCAATTATTTCTCTTTGATGTTATATATACGTACGTCCCTGTTGTTATCAATTTTATTCTCGCATTGAAAAAAAATAGCATCCACGCGACAGAAAATAAAAAGAGTACATGGTGTTTAGATCGCCTTTACGTTACTGAATAAATAAGATTTTTAGCTTGAAATTAAAATCAAATATGCAGTCAGGGTCCTTCGTAAAGCCATGTTATGAAAAAAAAATGAGTTCGGCGAACTACTGTGTAACATGTATACAATACACAATTTGAAAGGCAGCATCTTGTCTTATAGAAAACGTTTCATTTCCGGGTTAATATACACTGAATCAAGCGAGGCTGTGTACATAAAAGATTCGTCGAAAGCAAAAAATATCGCTTTCAGTTGTTATATATAAATATCGCTTTCAGTTATATATATAAGCATCCGAGAGCTTTAGTGTTTAATGTTGGTCGACGTCATTGTAGGAGTTATAAACTACATCAGTACACCAATCATAGCATTTTCAAAATTTAGTACTTTAAAACCCAAAATGTACACAGTACACAGATTCCACGACAAATTGTCATAAAAAAGCAGACCCACTGACAGAGAAAGAAAGAGAGCAGACGAGAGATGAAAATTTCGAGAACTTATGCCATACATCATATGCAAAAAACAATTTTTGGCAACCACTTTTGACTTTCCATATACTGATGATTTTCTTTTCTTTTTTTTTCCACGTATACATTGTGATATTATATGATTGTATGAAGGTATAAATATTGAGTTGATTTATTTCCTTTTCAACTCTAGGAAAAATGTTCAAAGATAACGAAATATTGATGAACATAAACGATCAGCGTTGCCTTCTTTAATCGGGAAAATACATGCAATTAAAGTTTTCAGTTACTTTGTCTAAAGAACTAAGTTATAATACATATTTAAACTTTATTTCTATAAAAACATCATTGAATTAGAACGCAGCTTTGCATTACCGAAAACCGATATTGCAATATCGGAAAAAAATGATTTTAATACCGAAAATATTTCTATATCATTACCGACTCGAGAATCTTATAGTTAAAAAGTGTTGGGGGGGGGGACCTAATAACATGTCCAAATCCTGGAATTTGCCAGTGCTCGACCTTACAGCAAAAAAGGGGGCGGAGGACCAGCATCTAAATGAAATTTACTATAGCAAATTAAAATACTATACTCAGAAAAGAGTCCCCCACCTTGCGTTCTCGGCCTTTATATATCATATTTGAAAATTTCACTTAAATGCAAGAATGCCTCTCCCGTTGCCTTGATGCACTGTTGCCCACTGTTCACCACGAGAAAGTGGTAGAGGACTTTCATTCAAATTCAAAGATATACATTCACAGTTGATTTTAAATGTATTAAAACGCATATAATTCATTGCCTCAACATGAAATTCACATATCGGCAAAAGCAGTGTACATCATGTAGCTTAAAGGCAATTTCAGCATGCAGTACTTAGCGACATTTTTCAGCGTCACAGTTTAATAATGGCAAAAATAGGAAGATATTCGGATCACTATAGAGAACTGGGCATTGAACTACACGTGAAATGTCTTATTTTGAATTTTCAGTAATGATATTATCTCCTTTTTTTTGGATATGAAAGAAAATAATTTCCGGCAATACAGTCCAGCCCATGGCCGTAGGAACCGGGGGGGGGGGGGTACGGGGGGCCGTGCCCCCCCCCCAATAATTTTGCCGATATATAGTTTACTATAGAAAACGTAGCTACTATATGCTTGTGCCCCCTCAATAAAAACGTCTGATGACCTTTTTATTCTTCTTTTTTTTCTTGTCAAGGAATTTTTGGTAGTTGATAGTGCCCCCTCAATTGAAAATGTATTGCTGTGCCCCCCCCCCCCCAACTGAAATTGCTTCCTACGGGCCTGCAGCCTGGAGGAGTTCCAATGACAACCGTAATTTTGTTACCCCCTTGGACAAGAATCGATGTTTTAAAACTACACTGCATATCTGCAAGAATATTTTTAATATCGCTAAAAAAAAAAGTAGGGGGGTGAGAAATGACAATAAAGTGTGCAGAACGGACAATTAAGATTCTTTGTTTTTGTAGTGTTTTTTTTTTTTTGGGGGGGGGGGTCTGTCTTTTTTTTTTTTTTTTTTTTTTTTTTTTTTTTTTTTAGGTTTACTATTTGAATATGTGTGTTCATTTATTAATTAATCTATTTTCTTTGATTGTTTCTTTGTTTGTGTTGTCTTGTTTTATTTTCCAGATTATATCTTGTTTTATTTCATTTTTTAGGATTTGCATCACAGGCACTCATTTCTGTCATAAATTTTTCAATCCGTAGTTTAATAATAATTATGGGTTAAAAAATTAATTACAGAAACAAGTGCTTGTGATTTCCTTGTAGAAAGGAAAGGATCTTTAACATCGGGCTCGTGTTCCGAACTTCTATTTGTCGGGCTCAACATTCCTCCCTGCATGTAAATAAAAATTCAGGAAATACTTCCTCTTCCCTATCGAAGCTGATTGTATTTATTTTTCTCCGTGCCTGCGATATGACGTCCACGGCAAGACCTAGCAGACCTCCTCCCCCTGTTCCAAAGCCAGGTAAACGTTACAGTCCATTTTCCTGAGGTGGGTCAGGGAACAGACTTGTATTTTGTCTTTTCTATGCATCACATGTATAGAAGTGTAATCCAATGTATTATGTCCTGTTTGACACACTTAAACTAACGCTGTTGTGCAATACTGACCTGTTGTCATGTCCCTGTGCATTATCAATATATCACGTTCATAATCTTGATAATACGATTTGAATGTTAAATTGGTGATGTTGTTCAACTCTATTAATTTTCTTGTTTTTTTTCTCATAAGGTCATGTCAAGGTAGTGAGAGCCCTGTATCACTATGAAGCTCAACAGGTAAGTGCAGATCAATAAGTATTTTATTTCACTTATTGTCCTTGTTGGGTTTCTTGATGCAAGATTTTTTTCCATAACATGTGAATCTGTGTGGCCCAATGTGATTGACATATGCATTGTATACTACAGTCAAACCTCATTATTTCAAACTCGATGAGGCCGAGAAAAAAAGATATCCAAAGATTTGAAATATCCAGAGTAAAATACTTCACAAATAAGTAATTTGGACTTCAATATTACTTCAACATATCCATGGTATTTGAGATATCCGTGTTCCAGATACCGAAGTTCAACTGTATATTCATGTAATGTTTTAAATGCACAAATGTATAATTTTGCTTATTTTTCTTTGAAGCCTAATCATGGGTATTGAAATTCCTGCAAACATAAAGTTTGACTTCAATTTGTATATATTACATGTAATAACCTTGATAACCTTTTATTAATTAATGTACTGTTTCTGAGACTAGTGACTTTATTAACAACAAAAATATAGCTAAAAAGTAACCCTGTGAATTATTTCCTCCCTAAAATACAGTATGTGGAGAGAAGGAGGATGTTTAGCTGTTCATGTTTGATACTTATAATACATTCATGTTTTTTTTAGACTGATGAATTGTCTTTTGAGGAAGGTGATACCTTGTATATTCTTGACATGAGTAACTCTGATTGGTGGAAAGCAAAGTGTGGAGACAAAACAGGACTTATTCCTAGTAATTATGGTGAGTCTCAAGAAACTAGATTTAGAAATAAATACTTGAATGTGAGGTTTTGTTTTAGATTTGATGCTGATGTCAAGAAGTTTCATTGGAAAATAAAATAAGGAATGAAGGACGAAGTGTTTCTTTTCTTGAAAAATTTTGAGATGGAGGAAATTAGAAATTTAAAGCCCCATTAATGATTTTCACATGCAGGTGTGAAAGGATTGATATTAATCCACAGTGCACATTCTTTACATTGAAATATCTTAAAAATCAACCTAAAAGAAAAATACAGCAGTTATATCTTTCACCTCATTTAAGCTTTGAATGTTCATATTTAGCTCACTTCAATAAAGTCAAGGAAAGCTTATACACTGTACTATACTCCTGGTGTCAGTGTTGGCATCCCAGGTAAAAGTTTTTGGAGCAGGTCCATTTCCCAAGTAATTATAAGTGCTACCATAACCAAAGTTGCATGGATGATGCATATAGAGATAGGGGTGAAACGATACACCTCCTTCATGGTTCGATACGTATTGTATCATTTTGACTCGGTATGATTATTTTCAATACGATACATTTTGATAGAAGGAAACAAATTCAACGTTGTTTTATGCTTTCTTTTACTAAATCTAGTCACTTAATTTATGAATTTATTTGCAAATTGACTAGAAAAAAAATTGATAGAATGATTTGACTGTCAAAATTTATTTTGCAAACTATAAGTCCTAAAAAATTTACGTTTTCTATACTTATTTATACTGAGTAACATGTTTTACCTTATGCTAAACCCGACTGAATAACGATCTCGACCTAAAACTGAACTGAACCGAAAATTAGAGATTTTGCACTGTGTATCAAACTGAGAAAAAATACTACAGTGAATCGATACCGCGGTGAACCGTTTCACTCCTATGTAGAGATGCATACTATCAGGCTTGCATCAGGGGTTGCATCTGACATTTCGTGCAGTTAGGTATATGTACAGATAGTTTTGAAGAATTTTAGTAAAGGGAAAAAAAGTTCCATGACACTATTTTGGAAAAATATTTTTGTTTATTTCTCCTTCAAAAGTGTCAAATATTTAACTTTAAAATACAGTTTCTGTGGCATAATCCATATCGCGTTGGACTGATGATCTCATGAATATCCTGGCGTGGGTGCTGTCAGATTTTGTCGAGAAAAAGAAGCAATGCACTATTAGTATGCTTATGCTATATAAATCCTTTGTACACTGTTCAATAGTAGTTGGGTATTGATTATAAAGAGACAAACTTACAGGAAGCATGATAATATAAAATAGTTAACCATTTATAGGAAAGTGGGACAAAATCATGTGTATGATGATATTGAACATTAAGCAGAATGAAGTGTAAAGAGAAAAGCAACTGTTATGATTCATCCATTAAAATTTGTAGGAAAAGAAAGTTCAACTGATATTTACCACTTTTATAAAAAAAAAAACACACAAAAAAACAAACAATTTTTACTGTGCAAACACAAACTTAATGATTCTATGAGAGTTACATAAATTCAAGTTAATATCCATATAAGCAATACATGTACATGTATGTATTAATTGTAACAGTTGAAAATTTTTTCCATCCATCTTCTGGCATGACATTGGCATACTTCTATGTCTTGTGCCGAACAAACAATGGTACGATGCATGAAAATACTGAGAAAATTTTTCTCATTCTTTCAAGACAGCTTAAACTTGAAAATTCATTCATCTTTAATAAAATACAAGTTTTATTTTGGTGATATTTGCACAAAATAAATAATTTAAGATAAAATAGGTGAAGATATGGAACAGTGATCAGTCTCAAAAAACCTTTCAAACAATGCAAATCTGTGAACAGGGCATAAAACAGGGACCATGGAAATTCAAGAGGTGGGATTTGGTGCTTAGGAGGAGCAAGCATTCCTTGTTGACTGGTCACACCCTATGTATTGATGAAGTAGTCAGAATAATCTGAATTGCTGACTATAAATGAGGTTGTTGAAATCCATGTATCGTCAACTTATTAATTGTCAGTAGCGTGTCTAAGTTTAAAAATTGATTGTACTGGACACATCATCTTTTACAGATAACCAGCTGTTATTAAAGTGCCTTTATAAATAAGTTTAACATGTTTATAATTAATTTTTATAATTAAAATTAAACACAGTTAATCAGAGAGTAGAAAAATGCTTTTCGAAAACAGTTGTGCAATGTAAAAAAATATATATACCTCTGGTAGTGATTGATAGCAATAAACATTATTTGAAAATTCTAGTCAGATTATTTGTTATTTCTACATTATACTTCCAGCTAGACAATATATTCTAGCTTCTTGTGTATTTTTTATTATTGAACTATTTTTAGCTCACCTGAGCCAAAGGCTCAAGTGAGCTTTTCTGATCAAAATTCGTCTGTTGTCTGTCATCGTCATTGTCGTAAACTTTTCACATTTTCATCTTCTTCTCAAGAACTACTGAGCCAATTTCAACCAAACTTGGCACAGAGTATCCTTGGGTGAAGGGGATTCAATTTTGTTCAAATGAAGGGCCACGCCTTCTTCCAAGGGGAGATGATTGCAAGTTCATGAAAAATTTATGGCATCTTTCAAAAATCTTCTTCTCAAGAACCACTGTGTTAGAAAATATGAAACTTACGTGGAAGCATCCTCAGGTAGTGTAGATTCAAATTTATTCAAATCATGACTCCCATGGGTAGGGTGGGGCCACAGTGGGCGATCAAAGTTTTACATAGGAATACATAGGGAAAATCTTTAAAAATCTTCTTCTCAAGAACAGCAAAGTCTTGATTGGTCATATTTATATGGAAGCATCCTCAGGTAGTGTTGATTCAAGTTTCTTCAAATCATGACCCCTGGGGGTAGGGTGGGGTCACGGTGGGCGATCAAAGTTTTACATAGGAATATATAGGGAAAATATTCAAAAATCTTCTTCTCAAGAACAGCAAAGCTATGATTGGTCATTATAATTTATATGGAAGCATTCTCAGGTTGTGTAGATTCAAATTTGTTCAAATCATGACCCCTGGGGGTAGGGTAGGACCACAATGGATGATCAAAGTTTATATACTCATAGGAGTATATAAGAACAATTTCAAAAAAATCTTCTCAAGAACAAGAAAGCTATGATTGGTCATATGTATATGGAAGCATTCTCAGGTGGTGTAGATTCAAATTTGATCAAATCATGACCCCCGGTTTTGTTGGGGCACAATGGACGATCAAAGTTTTACATAGGAATATATAGGAGAAATCTTAAAAAATCTTCTTCTCAAGAACAGCAAAGCCATGATTGGTCATATTTATATTGAAGCATCCTCAGATAGTGTAGATTCAAATATGATCAAATCATGACCCTCAGGGATAGGTAGGGGCCACAATGAAAGTTTAAACTTGTAGGAAATAAGTCACAATTAGTCAAAAAAAATATGTAAGCATCCTTAGTTAGTGTAGATTCAATTTTGTTCAAATCATACCCCCTTCCCTTTAAGGGGTAGGTCGGGACCACTTATGCATTTGAGCATTGCAATACTAAACTGATTTTTGCTTTTTTCCTAGCTACAGTGCTCAGGTGAGTTGGCCCCTGGGCCTCTTGTTTAGAAATAGTTTGCAGAAATAAAAATACTTTGGTCAAATTGACAATATAGCATATTTCCTTTTCATAGTGTACATGTGGTATTCAAGAGGCCTTATTTTAAAATAACTATTTCACTTTGAGAGGAAAAAAGAATTTGGTTCACTTGAAATGAAGTAACAGCCCAAAAATAGGTCAAGATATCAGACATTTTTGGAACTACATGTATATGGCTATATTTATTTGTGTGCCTGAGTCACAGTTTGCACAGGGAAGTCTAAATGTTGCATACTGGAAGTCAAAATTACAGTGGTTTTGATTATTCCTTATCAGCATTTCAAATATGGCCTTTTTTTGCATGGCCAATTCATTTACTAAGATATCTAAATTGAAAAAAAAAAGCAAAAATTAAAGTTATACATCAATGTAATATTCAAAAATGAAACCAATATTTCTCCATTTGTAATATTTTGTATCACATTTTATAACCAATTCTCCTTGTTTCAGTGGATAAGAATACAGAAGTTATTGACTACCCTTTACATGAAGCTGCCAGGCGTGGAAATATTACTTTCATGAGAGAATGCATATCAAATAATGTAAGTGGATTTAAGTAAAATGTAGCACTTTAAAATATGTTCATTTAATTTACATCTTATTAACAAAATAGGATGATGACAAGCTTCATTCTATTTTTAATTAGTAGCTAGTGGACATGAAGCCCGACAATGTTTTGTTCTGATTTTGTTTATGCTTTATAAACATGTATGAGCATTTGTTATTTTAGCAGCCAGCAATTATTTTAGTTACTTTAGGCCATTCCAAGTTTTTTCTATGTTTCCATGTGCGCGTTGGTTTCTGACACCTAATATCAGAAAAAAAACAAACAAAATCAGGAGGCCTGAAATTGATTAATTTGGTCGAAATCTTTGAATTTTGTCATTTTCTATAGTGATCTGTATACTTTATGTCAAATTAGGTATATTTTAAGGATTTAATACCTTGATTTTGTTGAAGAATTTTTTTTTTTTTTTTTTTTGCGCATTGGTAGGTAGGTTTTTGATAGATGGGTGGACGCTAAACATAGGAAAAAAAACTTGGAGTGGTCTTATTCTATGCTTTTTGTGCTACATGTACTTCAAAACACTTCTTATCTAGATACATGTAATAATATTTTATGTAAATACATGTAACTTTTTATTCACAAGAACTTTATTTTCAAGACGGTGTGCTCACAAAAATTTCATTTTTGCACTATGATAATCAGTTTTTGAGCTTACAAAACTTTTGACTGTGAACATTATTATTATAATTTTTTTAGCTCACCTGGGCTGAAAGCTCAAGTGAGCTTTTCTGATCACCTTTTATTCATCATCCATCTGTCTGTCTGTAAACTTTTCACATTTTCAACTTCTTCTCAAGATTCACTGGGCCAATTTTAACCTAAGTTGGTACAAAGCATACTTGATGAAAGGGAGTTTAATTTGTTAAAATGAAGGACCAAATCCCTTCCAAGGGAAGATCATCAAGAAAAGACAAAAATAGGTTGGGGTCATAAAATTTTCTTCTCATGAACCACTGGGTCAGAAAAGCTGAAACTTATGTGGATACATACTGGGGTAGTGTAGATTATAAATTGTTCAAATCATAACCCCCAGGGGAGGATGAGGCAACAATAGGGAATCAAAGTTTTGCATTGAAATATATAGAAAAAAATCTTTAAAAATCTTATTCCAAATAACCACTGGGCCAGAAAAGCTGAAATTTTTTGGAAGCTTCCTGAGGTAGTGTAGATTTTAAATTGTTCAAATCATGAACCCCGGGGGTTGGGTGGGGCCACAATAATATACAAGGGGGAAAATCTGGTGAAGAACAGCAGGGCCAAAGTTACTCAGGTGAGTGTTGTGGCCAATGGGCCTCTTTTTTTCTTTTCTTTTTTTTTTAGAAATGTACTTGTATATTAAAGCTAGTTTGGCAGCTAATTCCCTACAATTCATCTACTTGGTAAGGATTGACTTAAACATTCAACATTTTTATTTTGTAGGTTTCTGTAAATGCTCTAGATAAAGCTGGATCCACGCCTTTACATTGGGCAGCACATGGAGGGCACATTGATTGTATGCAGATGTTGTTGAACTCCAAGTGCCAGGTCAATGTTCAGGTAAACACTTGAGGCTATTTCCTGGAGCTGTTTAGAAATTCAAATTGATCGTTGATATCAGTTAATTGATTATAATTACAGATGGATAGGTTTAATATTTTAATATATTTTTTGTCTGCTGTTCTGCTGTTTGTTTGACTGTTAAAGGCAAAGGTTATTTATTTTGACCTGGAGATGTGAGCCAAGGTCATTAATACAATGTTGGAGGATGAAAAGTGTGAAAATCATGTAATGTAGAAATTGTAGAGGCTTATGTTGACAAAGATCTTGCCTTATCACTAGAGGATACCGATATAGCCTAATTAACCCATTTATGGTAAACTTTGGGGCTCCACAATGAAGTTTTTCTCCCTAGCTTTATTTTCATTGTGCCCTTTGGAGGGCATTTCTTTAAACAACTTCTGCATTTACAATGTATGTGCATTATGAAACAAAAGCACTTACAATGGCTAACACTAATTGAAGAAGCTTCACCCTTTTCTTCCCAGCAGTTGTGTCATTTACAGTTTGGGGTGGGGTGGGGGATAACTCTTGCAAATCCAGGGCCATTTTAGAGAGGATGTTTTCTACATTTTAGTGTTATTTTTAGGGTTAGATAAATTCCTAGTTGAAGATAATATTTTGTTTTGTTTTTTCAACATCCACAGAACAAGTTAGGAGACACCCCATTACACTCTGCAGCCTGGAAGAATCATGCTGAGGCTGTCAAGCTGTTAATTGAGAAAGGTAGGTGTCTGTAAAATGGTAAAACCATTCATTTTCATGGGGTCAAATTTTCATGGTTTGAGGAAAAAAGATTGGCTCATGAGCATTTGCTTTTGTGGTTGAAAGACAAACATAATACATGTACTATAGTTTAATTGATATTTTACACTTTGTGGAGGACTTCATATCATGAAAACAACAAATCCCACCCCCACCCCCTGAAAATTAATGATTTCACAGTATTATTCCATGACAAGATCAACACATCTACATGTTTATTTAGGAAATACATAGATAAAATTTCTTCTTTAAATCAAGGTGCAAGGGTTGATATTAAGAACAATGAGAGCAGACTACCTCTGGATCTCACCAAAGATCCTGAATGTGCAGCATTAATCAAACAAGCAGGTAAATCAATGTGCATGTTTTTTTTAATTGTTAAATTTAATTTTCTGAAACAATTTATTTATTACCTCAAAACCATACAGTTTACATGTATGTACATAAATCATGTATGTTTGATCAATTTTAATAGAGCTATTTTCTATGAATGAATTTAATTATTAAGTCAGTGAGGATGAATAAATTTAATTAATAATTCAGTGAGGATGAATTTTTAATTATGGCTCATTGAATGATGATATTATACAAATATTGACTGGGATTGAGGGAAACATTGATCACATTTATAGCCCCTAAGGGGTGAAATATTCCGAGTCAGGCAATATTTTCGTCACGAGGGGGCTAACATAATCAGTGTTGCCCAAAAAATTTATTTGCATGCAATTTGATTGTAGCTTTTGCTAATCTTGCCTTGATTGTGTTACCTACCTGGTAGTTTTTATTATTGTGTTGTCATGTTCTTTGAAAGTCCTGATCGCATCACAATAAATCGATCTTCTAATTGGAATCAAAATCAATTAAAATGTGTGGGAAACTCTCTTTGTTGGTCAAAAGTAAAAATTAAATGACCATCAATATTTTTAGGTGAAGCTGATATAAATTATTGCCCATTTCTCTATATAGAGAATACGTCTATAAAGACTTTAATTCTTTACTGAAGATAACAATCCCTTATAACTCTTTCACTTGTTTAACATAGTCTTATTCGTATACTTTGTCATGTTCTGTTTAATATAGTCTTATTCATACACTTTAATTGTCATGTTCGGGTTACCCTACAACACTGAAAGATAAAATCCATTTTGAATGGATTTTTCCACATAAGAAAAGAATAGATCTTAACATTTATATTTATGCTCTTTTCAGCTGCTCCCAGGAATAGCTATACAAATGATTACGGGGACGAAGAGGATTCAGATTAGAGAGAAATTCATTGTAGTAATATTTCTCTTTGGGACGTCTCATTACGGATGAAAACTTAGGTTGATTCCTAAATTCCCAGCACATTGTGCAGCGAGTGCTACTGGGTACTCTTATAATACAGAGGCATTCTTTTTTTGTACGTTGGTGTGCAGCATTCCCCATTAACATGAAATGTTCTGTAAACATGGAAATTTATACCTTAGTTTATTTTTACTATAAATGTGCATGAAAAATTCTTACAACACAGGTCATTTGTAATTTATACTTTGGTGTCATATCTTAGTTATATCCCAAGATTTGTATTTCAAGCAGAAATTGCCATGTATACAGTACATACATGTGTTCTCAAGGACATATAAAGTGCAAACTGCATCTATTTTATGCAGTTTTTACAGCCATCTGTATGTAATATAGAGATCTTTATTGAAGTATCCGTTGTGCATCTGTTAATATTTTCATGTAATTTATGCAGCCTAAATTATTCCAGTGTCTTCCACTAATTTAAAAGAATGTTATTTTGAAATGAAATGAATCTCAAATTACACACAGTTGAAGCACAAGGACTTCTTTCTGAAATTTTCAAGCATGTCCAAAATTCATTTTGTTTTGGCCTTTTTTTAAAAATTGTACATCTTTGGAGATTTCCTATCTCTATGATTATGTTTTACACACATACTACCGGTATGTACACACATGTATATAGGTCACTTTATAAAAAAAAATTTGTGCATCCCAGAAGATTACTTAACTTTCAAACTTCCTGCACATGTATTTATTTTTTTAGCTCATCTCCACTCAAAATTGTCAGTAATTGGTATCACTTAGTTATTGTACTTCTCAAAAGTTATAAATTTCCTGATCATTATTTGTGATTTTAGCTCACCTGAGCCAAAAAGCTTTTCTGATTTAGTTTTGTAAATCATCTATGTATCTTTATATAAAGCTATGTTTGCGTTTCTGACATAAACTTCTCACAATTTTTTTCAGCTTTTCAGAAACACTTTCATTTTAAACCAAAATTGATTGCCAAGAGGAAAATAATAAGATAGCAAAATCATTATGAACCCATATCAGAATTATCCAATAGGGCACTTTAAACCAAATTTAATAAAAATTTTCTCAGTGGGAAATGAAGTCCATGTTGAGGAATTCAATCGTCATTTCCTTTTGTCACGCAGCACATTTAAATGATATTAAGTAGTTTAATTGATTTAAAGATCCTCTTTCCTGCTGAGAATAATGCCATAAATTATTTATTTATACTTGTAATAGGAAGTTATCTTCTCTATCTGCAATAGGAAGTTATCTTCTCTATTATTGATCATTAGGAGGTGTTTCCTCAGATCTTGATTATCAGTACCATGGTGAGATCCAATAAGTTTTCCAAGAAAATGATCATTTTGAGAAAATTTTTAACCTCTTAAAAAGAATGAAGCTCTTATTCCTAAAGATGCCGATTTAAAGGAGTTCCTTGTTTATAAATTTCAGCAGGCTAGGCTAAGACGAGGACCAAATTAATGCATGTATTTAGAAAAGTCTTTGAGGAACAACCCACATTAAATACAAGTATCCTCTACTTTTTTGTTTTAAGTCCAGATGATGTGAATTGTATCTCATCCAAACAATGTTGAGGATTTTGTACACTTTAAATACATGTATTGAAATACACCTATACCACATGATAAAGAATTTTTTTAAGTATATTTTGTATCTTGTTGTATGTTTGTTGTAACAGAATTGTTTGATTAGTTTTTAGGTCACCTGAGTCACTCAGGTGACCTATTGCTATCTGTTTTTGTCCGTAGTCGTGCGTTAACTTTTGAACATTTTTAACTTCTTCTCTAGAACCGTTCAACCAATTTCAACCAAATTAGGTATATAGCATCTATGGGTGAAGGGGAACAAAAATTGTGAATTTCATGGTCCCTGCCCCCCCCCCCCCCCCCCGAGCCTGAGGGGTGGGGCTAAAACCACCAAAAATAATGCAATCTTTAAAAATCTTCTTCTTTACTCCTGGACATCAAGCAGTCAAACTGTTGGCATCATTGTAATAAGCATTGAGCCCTCTACCAAAATTGTGAAATTCATGGCCCCAAGGTCAGGGGTTCTGGCCCCAGGGTGGGGCTATATAGATCATATAGTGAAAGTGCATTATTTCTTTGAAAATCTTCTTCTCTGCTCCTGGGTATTAAATAAAGTTACTAAGTACATAGTTATGATGAGCAAGAGTGCCTCTTCCAAAATTGTGAAATTCATGGCCCCAGGGTCAGGGGTTCTGGTGTTAGGGCGGGGCTCTATAGATTATATAGTGAAAAAGCATCAATTCTTTGAAAATCTTCTTCTTTGCTCCTGGGTATTAAATAAAGTAACTAAGTACATAGATATGATGAGCAAAAGTGCCTTTTCAAAAATTGTGAATGTCATGGCCCCAGGGTCAGGGGTTCTGGTGTTAGGGCGGGGCTCTATTGATTATATAGTGAAAATGCATTAATTCTTTGAAAATCTTCTTCTCTGCTTCTGGATATTTAATAAACTAACTAAGTACATAGTTATGATGAGCAAGAGTACCTATTCCAAAATTGTGAATTTCATGGCCCCAGGGTCAGGGGTTCTGGTGTTAGGGCGGGGCTCTATCAACTATATAGTGAAAATGCATGAATTCTTTGAAAATCTTCTCCTCTGCTCCTGGGCATTAAGGTGATAAACTAAGTACATAGTTATGATGAGGAGGTGGGCCTCTTCCAGAGTTGTGAAAGCCATGGCCCCTGGGTCAGGGGTTCTTGCATTAGGGTGGGGCTCTATTGATTATATAGTGAAAATGCTTTAATTCTTTGAAAATCTTCTTCTCTGCTCCTGGGTATCATTTAAACAAACTAAGTGCATGGTTATGATGCATAAGGATGCCTTTTCAAAAATTGTGAATTTCATGGCCCCAGGTTCAGGGGTTCTGGTGTTAGGATGGGGCTCTATTGATTATATAGTGAAAATGCATTGATTCTTTGAAAATCTTCTTCTCTGCTACTGGAGATTATTTAAACAAACTAAGTGCATGATTATGATAGACAAGGATGCCTCTTCCAAAATTTTTATATACATGGCCTCAGTTTTTGGGGTTCTTGAGAGGGGGGGGGGGGGGCTCTATTGATTGTATAGTGAAAAAGCATTAATTCTATTAATTAATCATTAATTAATCCTGTCTGCTCCTTAGTGTTGAGCTGATAAATAAATTGCTTAGCTATGATGAAAATGGGAACTTTGAACAGAATTTTTAAATCTTGTGGTCCTAGGGTCAGGGGTTCTAGCATAATGGGGGGGGGGGGGCTTTTGATAATATAGTGGAAAAGTGTTAATTCTTTGAAGTCCATAGTTATGATGATGAGGGTAACTCTTCCAAATTTGTAAATTTCTTGACCCTTGGTCTTGGGTTCTGGTGTTAGGGTAAGGCTTTGTTGAATCTGTAGTGAAAATGCATTGTACCTGTGAAATTCTTCTCCGTTTCTGGGCATATCGGAAGTAAAAGTTTAAATGATATGAGTAAGCGTATTTCTACCAGATTTTTAAACATCTGGACCATTCGTCTAAGCATTCTGGTCCTGGGCAGGGCTCTATTAACTTGTATTCTACTGAGAGAAGTTATTCCCCTTTTCCATTCACCTTTGATAATTAATCACTGTAAATAATGTATTTGAAAGGTTAATAGAATAAGATAATTATGCAAGAATGTTTATCGTATAATTCAAAAAGTACTTTCTTAGTTTTAATAATCAGGTAGACCTATAAGTAATAGATAAATAAAAATGAGACAAAAGTAACTTATCTTATTAAAAGTTCTTCAAAGATCATAAGAGAGGTCAATGCTAGAGGTCTTAATATGGGTTTAAAAATAGTACAGAAGCACTAATAGTTTGTTAATAGTCTTCTTGGTGATAGTGTTAAGTGGGGGACAGATTAGAACTTAATTTATGAGTTGATACTGAATACTAGACTAATTATTTTGTTGATCCTGATCTTCCTACTTCTCTTGCTTTAGGGCAACAATGTGTCATCTGTCAGTTTATTTAACTTCTAAATTGTTGTATTATACTCAGGTGACTGTTAAGGCCCTTGGGCCTCTTGTTTTTTTCCCTTTTTGGTCTCAATTTTTCCCCCTTTGTTCATTGAAAAAAAAGTTCTAATTTTAAAAATTGTGAGGAGTTATGTGCCCTTGAATGTTTTTTTTTCCTTCTAGTATATTTGTGCATTTCATTATGATCATAAAGATATGCCTTTCTTTCTCAATGCATTGTTAAAAATGTTTTTCATTAATGTTTCTGTACATGTAATAAATATTTATTCAAATCTTTGAATTATTGCATCCAAGTCTATGAAATGATACACTACACCATCAAAAGTATTAATGCCTATAATGATGGAATACTATTTGTCATCTTATGTGAAATTCAATACACAATAAAAATAATAGACTGATAGACTAAAAGTAATAGCAATTTTTTTTTTTGGGGGGGGGGGGGGGGAGGCTTGAAGTGTCATTGAAAATTGCATCGTTATCCAATATGTAATGTACAATGTTTATTGGATATGCACAGCTTGCCTGCAGTGAAGTTATATACACTACAATTGTTTATTAAATATGCAATTTCAACGATAATGTGATCGACATTTGTGGTGAACTTTGAAATATAACAGCGACTATTCAGGCATTTAAAATATGGATGCTTTGTTCAGTCTCATATATTTGATAGAAATTTCTTTGCCTACCCCGTCTTACCGTCATATTCCTTAATTTTGTAATGGAATAATCCAGCACTTAAGACGTCTGAAAAACTTTTAAATTAACCTTGGCCACAACTTTTAAACGGTTGTTGCTAGGGCTTTCATACTTTACATGAGTATTCTTTGCGACAAGGCCTTCCCTTGGGCACCATTAATTTTGACTCTTTAACTTACTTTAACTTTGGTCTTAACTTTTGAATGGTTGGTGCTAGGGCTTTCATATTTCACAGGTGTATACCTTGTCACAAGACCTTTCTTTGGGAACCAATATTTTTTATCTCGACGTTTGACGTGCATTCCAGAAACTTTTACCTTTGCCATGAGTAGCAATATGAGGGCATCAGTGTTTCACAAACACATCTTGTTCTATTTTAATTTTTACACAATAAAACCCCAGTAGGCTCCCTTAAGTGCCTACTTATTGATCACTTTCCTGGAATTTTTAGGTTAAACTTTTCAATATTGGTAAACTGCTATATTAAAAGGAGCTGCAGACCAAGTTCAATGAATATGTGTTCATTGCATTGAATCTTCGCATGGGATTTTAATACTTTTATCAGAGTTTTAGCCCTAAATTGATTAAAAATCAATAAAAATTTCATTTTTCCATTAATTTTTTTTTTTTATTCAAGAAAGAAACTGACGGAGACCAAGACTTGGTATACTGATATTTATTAAATATTTGTAAATCAATCGAGTTTTCTTCAGATATCAAGTTTTTCTGGTCCTCTATTGACTTAAAAATCAATAAAAAAAATTTCCAAAAAAGTTAATAGGTCCTTGGATTCAGTAGTGTTATGCTGTAAAATCATATATTTTCGTGGTTTGAAAAAAAAATATCAAGGGGTTGAAGAAGAAATATCATACTGTAGTATTAAGTTTAAACATTTCGTTGGGAACATGAATTTGTGGGTCCCTCCATACCAAGAAAACAATAAAAATCAAACTCCCACAAAAATTGGTGATTTCAAAGTATTGTTTACAGCTAATTTTTTCTTATTTTCACCCAGTCTGATTAAAATCAAACCTTCACTAGCTCCTTTTTATTTTGATTGTCACGCGACAATCAAAATAAAAAGGAGCTAGTGAAGGTTTGATTTTAATCAGGCTGATTTTCACCCTATCACACTTGCAAACAATTTAGTCCCTTTTTTAAATTCCCTAGAAGGAGTCGACTTAAAATAGAGATATATATCTGTCTCATTTGACTTTACCTCCATTTTGAATTCACCCACTGGCAGGAGCAAAAGTAAAACTTAGGTGAAATTTTTCCTTTACACAATACAGTAATGCATGTTTTGTGGGAATTTGCTCAGAGTTCTTGCCATTTATTAAATGAAATCAATATCTTATCAGAAACCACATTGTCCTGAGGCCATTTGATAAAAAGATTCAATTCTTACAAACTAGGTAATTTCGATGGAGGTTCGGCTCGGCTAGGTATTTGGTCTGACGCCCACCAACCAAATATCTAGCCGAGCCGAATCTCCACCGAGATTAACAAACTAGGTTGAGATATAGTACACTTTGAAGTTTGTTGCATAGCCGAGACTGCAGAGTTGAAGATCACATTGGAGTACATCAATTTCTTTCAGAGTTATGGCCCTTTATTCAATGAAAATAAATATTTTATCTTAAAAAAGAGAATTCTGTAGATTATTGTTCCAGACCAAATTTTTGAACAAGACATCTCTAATGAGATTGTAGCTCTACTGGTGTGTACTAGGTGTATCTTAGTATAGCCTACTTGTGTACCAAAAACCAATACCCTAATTATTCAGAATTATGCATCTTAGAAAAGTTTACTCATGTACAGTCTTACTGGGCCAAAACTGTGGGAGGAGTAGAGTTTTGAAAGAATTTCACAGAAATTTCTATTTTTAGTAACCATTGCAACACCAATCAAATCAAAAACCAATATACAGAATTATGTATCTTAACATAGTACACTTTTGTACCAAGTTTTACTAAAATTGGATCAAAACAGTAGCAGTAGCATTTTGAATGAATTTCACGAAAATTTCTACTTTTAGTAACCATGGCAATGCCATTTGTCGGAATCAAAAACATATAAAAAATTACATGTATATCTTTGTATAGTATACTTGTGAAATTGGACCAAAGGAGGAGGAGTAGTATTTTGAAAAATTGTATACAGAGACAGATGGATGGACAACAAACACCTTACTAATAAGTAAGTTCTTCTGGTCTCTGAACATTAGAGCTAAAAAAAAGTTCTATTTTAAAATTTTTTTAAAGATCTTAGAAACATTATTTAGAAACAATTATCCAAGCCTGTAAAAAAAAATTGAAAATCCGGGAGAAAGGACATGAAACATATTTTCACGTTTATCTGTTGTGTAAAAGTCTAATGTATCAATCTTGCAATTCTTTCATTGTTTTACT